CACACAATTCCAGGTTGTGGCTCGTGTAGATATCAAGGACTGCGGTACTATGTTGCGATCTCTTTCGTCTTGCCCGAGATTTCAGTGTTTTTGCACTTGCCCTGGTGAGCCACTCATTTTTGCATCGTGCTTGGAAGTCAAAACACCCAACCTGGAGCAACTTAAAGTCTTGAGTCATATTCAACGCCATCGATGCCGTTTGTTTCAGCATTGCCACCGCGTCAGTTGCAACATGCGCCAAGTCGAAGTACCAAGCACTTCTGTGCAACACATAGCCGACGGAGAAAGTTAATTTGAACTCGGATGCGTTTCAACCGATCTCACTGAGTGGTATGGTCTTATGGCGTAGGATTTGGCTACTGATGGTTGGTGTTTGGAGCTTGTGAACTCATTCAACGGATGCGTTTCGCAAGTAATGCAGCCTGGTGACCATCATCAGAGTTCAAGCTGCAACTTTGCAACGCAGCATCGTGTACAGTTCCATGATCAACATCGCCAGGATCTCCGACTGACTCAAGACGAGGAACGAAGTTGCAATACCAGTGAAAAAAAACAAGGATTGGGTCGAACGTCATTCCCTGCGAGTTCATCATTTAGTCCAGACACTGAAATATCTCGAGCACCCTGGCGCAGTGACCTACTAGTACTGAAGCTGCTGTCAGGCACATGCCGATAGCTACTCAAGCCCTCAAAGTTCGGCGGCCGCCATCCCAGTGAGCTGGTAGATGAATCGGGCTGCAGGTGCAGACGTGAAACTTGCTGAATAAGGGTGAAGCAGTATCATTCCGGATTCATCTTGAATCCCAGCTGCGTGGCACCGAAGACCACCCTCCAGAAGGCGCGAAGCATCCAGGCTCGTTGCTCGCTTTCCTGATGTAAGAGAGTGGAGGGTCTGGAGCAATGGGATGGTCAGAGTTCCCCCCGAGCACAACTGCTGGCATCCCGCAGATCGCCCGCTGGTATTGTGAGATCCATTCTCGGAGAATGGCCGAGTGAGGGTGAGTATATTTTGTCTAGGTCTCCCTCTGGCTCGCTCGGCACAGTCGACAAAAACAGGGGCGGTTGCGGGAGGGGAGGCGACTGGACGGGGGAAAGGCCCAAAGGGACAAACTGGAAGTTGCGAAGAGAAACTTCACACATGCAGCAACATTTCTCGCATGCTCACGTCGGAATCATGCATCACTCGCGCTTGCACTCGATTTTTCTTTGTCGTCGAGGAAGAGCTTGGCTGCAGCAGTTTGCCAGTCACAGAGAACGGCATCGTCCCCAGAGTTCTCAAGTATTCTCATGTCCTCAAGAGTGATCTCCCTGGCGAAGGCAGAATGGGTGGACGCTTGGTTGGCCTGGTTACTAAGAGAGACCTGGAAGGGCAGCACGGGACCAGCAGTTATTGCTAAATCAATGTTTCTCAGCTTTGTGTGATCGGGGTGGGGGGGGGGGGTCTTGATGTGTCGTCGCAGGAATCTGCTGGTCGCTTCTGTGATGAACCGCGATGTGGCAGCGAACTTAATGGTCTGTGTGCAAAAGTGAGCAGCTTGCCTCTCGCCAACCCTCCCCCGACCTCGTCAATTTTCAAAGTCAGGAGCTGCCATCAAACCCCCAGGTCTTCGCACAAGAGCCAGTCACGCTGAAGGATGCTTGCGTGCACATGCAGCAAGCAAAGGCCCAAACTCGCCGGGATGTGCAAGATGTGCTGCAGTGTGTATTTTCCGTGTGTCTGGACTGGCTAGTAGCTATTTGGAGGTGTCTAAACTGCCCGTGCTGAACAAGGATATGGAGCTAGTGGCATTGCTTTGCTTGGGTCCAACTTCGCATTTGCAGTATCATGCTCCGACGCTTGCTCACCGCGACTGCAATGCGGAGCGCCTAGGTCGCGGCGACATGAAAATTGCTCAGCAGCATCCTATGGCATCACGGGATGCAAACAGGCCTCAATTGGATAACAGCGAAGCCTAGGGACAGTGTTGCAGATGCGAGGCAGCTCATGGTTGCAGCTGCGGTGTCTGCGCATGAACCAGATGGCTGGGACCGGGTGAAGGCTACGGCGGCTGCAGCTCGCTGGAGATGTCTCGGGTGAAATATCCATGGACGGAGGCCATGGTGGAGGCTGGTGCTGATGTCTTGAGCCTGGACGTGGGCGATGGCGTTGACCAATACGTCGTGCCGGTCTAAGTCGCATGCGACGCAGAAGCTCCCACCATTCCGAATAAGTTTTTTGGGGCACCCAGGTTGCATTTCTGAAGCAGATGAAGGCGAGCGACTACAGCAGAGCCATGAGTCAGCTTAGGTCACGATACGATAGATCCTATCGCCTTGCAAAACTGTCTACACAGGAACTCACTACTCACTGGTCCGTATCTGCAGCATCGGGGTTTCAGGACATGTTTGCCGGTATCGACGTCATCGTCGGCCCGGTGAACTGCCTTAGCCAGGCTGTGCCAGTGTGATCGCTTGGGGGGCAGCAAGGAGCTGGTGGGCTAACATCAGTCTCTACAATAGAGTCCAGTTTCACGGGAGTTGGAGCGAAGCACTCAGCACACCTGCTCATTCCCAACCCTGTACCTGACAAGCTATTAAGGCCTGAACTCCAAGTGCACCATGCACCTTGTAAGTTTTCGTTGGGAAGCCAGGCGACGCTGCTCTGCGAGCACGGTGCCGATGCCGTGCGGGCATTGACCTTACACGCGTGACGTCGCACACATTGTGCGGTGAGGGCCGACAGCCATGCCATACCAGGTTGGAGACGCCAAGGGTGCGGAAGCCACGACAATATTCGAGCTTTCTAGGGCCCTTCGCTCCACCTTCGGGATTCCGGTCATAGCTGATGTCGAGGTGCGCAAGGAATGCAGGTTTCGTTGGAGCCTATGAGAAAGCCCCAAAAACCTTTGCAGAACAGGTGAAGGACTCTGGGCAGATTCTCAAGGCCCAACAGGGAAAGGGCCCAGAGCCAAAGCACACAAGGCAGCTTTGACGAATCCAGGCCCTACTGCTGGGCGCGAGCGCAGTGTGCCTCGATGCGATGCTCGAGCGATGCGAGGCTCGGAGCGTCGCGAGACGGCTCATGCACTTTTCCCCCACCTCAGCCATTGTGAGGAGGCGTGCGGCTTGCATATCTTTCGTGAAGGCTGGTGCTGGTGCAGTCGAGGGCACACGAGTGATTGTCAAGTCAGCAAATCTGCTGTCGAGTCGAGCCCGCCGAGTCGAAAACGCCACGGCCTCGTGTCGAAAACCAGGGAGACCCTGAGTCGAAAACATCTCCCTCCGGGGTTTAGGGTTTAGGGGTTTTGGGTTTAGGGTTTAGGGCCTCTGTGTTGTTTTCTGAGTCGCTAGCCCTGCTCTCCGACTCGTGCAGCCCTCGTTTTCCGACTCAGGCCTCTCCACTTTCTGACTCGGTCCCCTAGGTTCTCTGAATTGGTCTCTACCGTTTTCGACTCCTTTTTCTTATTCGGGCGTCACCCGAGGGCGCACATTCCTGCGGGCCAGCATTCTCTGCCCTGAAGGCGCGCGTGTGCGAGTCGAGGCCCAGAAAGGACAGGTTGGTAAGTGCAACAGAGCTGGGGGAGTGGAGGAACGATGATGTCCTGAAAGCTGCGCAAGGAAATAGTCCTGTGCTGAGCGGCGTGCCGACGACTTTAGTAGTTCCTTGGCAGCTTTTTGAACATAAAGGCCCCGTGGGGATGTGCGCTTTGTCACAGCTACCGCCGAGCTGAAGGGAGTTCAGCTCGGTGTACATTCCTAGGACCGCGGCTCGGCACTAACCTTCCTGCCCTTCCTCTGCAACCAGCTGCGGCGCAGTCTTCAGGCGTGCACAGAGTTGTGCTTTTTGCTCGGTGTGCCAATGGACCCGCGAGCTCGTCCGTTCTTTCCCAACTACTGGCATGAGCGAGCTGGCTGTACATGCAGGACCTTGACATCGATTCGCTGAGCGATGCCTCAAAGGCTTCCGCACATCCTCGACTTCAGCTCTTGCTGTTGGAATTGCTGGTAGCAGCAGTACCAAATAAAACAACAGCACTTCATACGTAGAAGAAGAAGAGCAACATCTCTTGTGTTTAATGGCCGTAGCAACCAATTAGTTTACTACCAGGCTTGCTCCCACGCTGGCCACCCGCCTGTCTGCCTGCATGCCTGCCAACTTACCTACCTAGGGACAACCTACCAAGACTCACTCTCTGCAACTTCGACGGCTACTACAAGCACCACCGTAATCATTTTACTAGCAAAAATAGTGGTAGTTGGAATGGTCTTTACCCCTAAACCGTAAACATCAAAATTTAAACCCGAACCCCAAACCCACGATAATGGGGTTCTGAGAGACCTTTGTTTAGAGGCTCTGGAGCAGGGCAAGCTTCGCCTGGAAGCGCAGACGCAAAGCTTTCATCCCTCGTGGCAGGCAGCGGAACAGCAATTTAGGGCTTGGGACTTTGGGTGTAGGTTTAGGTTTAGGGTTGAGGTGCCGTTTGCGCTTCAGGGTTTAGTATTTAGGGTTTTTGGTGTTGGGGTTTAGGAGCTTCCTAAGCTCCTTACGAATCCATGCCAGTTTGTGTTGAGCTGCTAGGCGCCGAAGATGCACCCCATCATCGTGGGCTCGCTTCACTCCATCCGCTGATGTCTCACCGCTTGGAATTTAGAGCCGAGCAGTACCCGCCGGTTGCGTTAGGGGTTTAAGGGTCTCCAGCGTTAAGGTTAGGGTTTGCTCATTGCAAGGTGTCCAGCGTCTAACTCCAACAACTCCAATGGTCTCGAAGAGATGCAGAAATGGTCTAGAGACTTCCACCCACACAGTTGTTACTGAAGCTGCAGATGCACGTTGTCTTTTCATGATCAAGCTTTGTTTGGCAACACCTGTGCCCAGACTCCAGCTTGAGGGTAGAGAAGGATGACGTGAAGAGAGACTTGCAAGTGCAGCTCGTTCGTCACCAACACCGTCACACATGACGATGGTTCTACCTCGGTGCTTTTTCTTGTAGAGCTGTAGCTGTCCCTTAACTCCTTATGCCATGCTACCTGGTCAGCGCACGGCCGGCCGGTCTAAGAAACCATCAGGGCGAACGGTGGTCTTGGATACAAAGGATCTGGACTCCGCAGCTCGATGGTTAGTATACTACAGTCCGATCCATCCGCTTCAAGCTGCAACTTGGCAGGAGGAGGGCCCACCCCAAACGCCAGATGGCGAAGCCAATGGCAACGACAGGCCTTGCCGTCGCTAGAAGGAGGAAACGCATTTCCGAATGGAGTGAAACGCCCACATCAGTTTTCAAAGACAAATTATGAGTAGGTGTGGTTCAATTCCTGCAGATGCTTGCTGCTACGTCTAGGGGAGAAATACCGGAGATCTCTAACCGCAGGCCGTTGACGTCTCCAATTTCAACACCAACACCGACGTTTCATCGAGAAGTCTCTGTCAGCAGGCAGGCTGTTTAGGGTGTAGAGTTGAGGGTCATCCGATCCACCCAGTCAAATCCCAATAAGGGGGATATTCCTGTATATCTCCTTTGGGCCTCGGGTGTCTTGCCTTGAGTGCTCTTGGTAATTGGTAACTGGCATCCCAACACTCGACACCGTGACCCAAAACCCCTAAACCCAAAACCCGAAAGCCTAGCAGCAGGAGAAAACGGGTTCAAAAACCAAAGAAACCTACCTACACCCTAAACCCGAAACCCTAACACCCCACGCAAACCCTAAACCTTAAACCCTGGCAGTAGGCTAAACAATCGAAAATAAAAGACCTGCATCCTAAACCTTGCTTCCCGGATGGGGAGCAGCTTTCTGAAAAAAGGCTAATCCCCTTAAGCCCTAAACCCCAAACCTTTTTCTCCAAGACCGCTCAGGGATGATGCTTCCTGGAGCTTCGAGCGGATTGAGCGGCGTCCGCGAAGTGCGGCTCGAAGGAAGGCCCGAGTTCTCCCGGAGAGTTGCAGCTTTCGGCGCTAGGGATGTCCAGGTTTCAGGATGGCTTAGCCGACGTTTTGGCGTTTTGGACGGTTTTGGGGTTTAGAGTTCGGGGAGGTGTGTTTTGGGGGTATAGGGTCCAGAAATGTTTGCGGTGGATTTCGGCAGGTGGTTTTGGGGGTTTAGGGACAGGGATGTTTGGGGTTGATTTTGGCGTTTTGGCTTAGGGATGGGGTTTGCAGGTTAGGGATGGGTAAGGTGGATGTTGGGGTTCAGGGATGTTTAGAATTCAGGCTGGGTTGCGGTGTTGCAGGCCTAAAGACATGTTTAGGACGGGTGTTGGGTTTTAGGGTTAAGGATTTGAAAGTTGGTGGGCTTTGGGTTGTTGGGTTTATGGATGTTTGGGGTTGGTTCTGGGATTTAGGGCTTAGGGATGGTTGGGGTGGGTTTCGGTTGGGGCTTAGGGCTTAGGATGAAGGAGTTTGGGGGCGTAGGGCCTAGACATGTTTAGGGTGTGTTTGGAGTTTACGGATGCTGACGATTCAGGGTGGGTTGTGGTGTTGCGGGTTTAGGGGATGTTGAGGATGGCTTTTGGGTGTTAAGGGTTCATGAATGTGTGCGGCGGATTGTTTGTCGGGCTTAGGGTTTAGGGATGCCTAGGATGGCGCTTGGTGTTTAGGGTTTAGGGATGTTTAATGTTGACTTTGCGGTTTAGGGTTTGTGTGTTTCGGGACGTTTAGGGTTCAGGGTGCGCTGTGCCGTTGTGGGGATGTTTCGGGTTGCGGTTGCGGGCCTAGAGATGTCTAGGATGGGTATTGAGGCTTAAGGTTCTGACTTCTTTGGGTGGAGGGTTTTGGTGATTAGGATCTAGGGAAGTTCTGGTGTTTTAGGGTGATGATTTGAAGGGCAAAGGAGTTTTCGAGTTCAGTCGGGGTGGGTTTGGGGGGTTCAAGGCGCGGGAATGTTTGCGGCGGATTTCGGTGAGTGGGTTTAGGGTTTAGGGATGTTTGGGTTTAGGGCTAATGTATATTTGGAGTGGATTTTGGGGGTTTACGGTTCAGCGATGTTTGGGGTGGGTGTTGTTTAGTGATGTTTAGGGCTGCGGGGGTTGCGGGCTTAAGACCATTTAGGATGGGTGTTGGGGTGTTTAGGGTTCCGGTGAAGGGTTTAGGGATGTTTAGGCTGGGTTTCGGGGCTTAGGGTTTAGAGATGTTTAGGGTGGGCTTGGTGCTTAAATTAGGGGTGTTTAGGGTTCAGGGTGGGTTGTGGTCTTGCCGGTATGGGGATGTTGAAGATTGGTCTTGGGAGTTTAAGGTTCAGGAATGTAGAGGATGGTTGGATGGTGTTGGGGCTTTGAGATGTCCAAGATTGGTTGTCGGGTTATGTGGTTCAGGCCCTGGGTATGCTCAGTGTTGGTTTTGTGGTTGTTGTGTTGTTGCAGGTTTGGGGTGGGTTTTGTGGTTTTAGGGTTCATGAATGTTTGCGGTGGATTTCGGGCGGTGGCTTTTGGCGTTGAGGTATGTGTAGGAGTGTAGGGTCGATTTTGGGGCTCATGGTTTAGGGCAAGTTTAGGGATGTTTATGGTAAATTCGTGTGGTGGGTTTTGTTTGCGGTGGATTGCTTTCGGGGTTTAAGGATGTTTTGTGAGTTTGGGTTTGGGTTCATGAACGTTGCGGTGGAGTTCGGGTATATGGTTTTGGGGTTTAGGGTTTAGGGATGTTTAGGGTTTGGGGATGTTTAGGGATGGTTAGTGATGCGGGGGTTTAGTGTTTAGGGACGTGTAGAGTTCAGGGTGGTTGTGGCCGTACGGGTTTAGGCTTATTTAAGATGGGCTTTGTGCTGGATTTCGAGTGCTGGATTTTGGGGTGTTGGGTTTAGGGATGTTTAGGGGGGGCTTTGGGGTTTAGGCGGGTTTAGGGATTTTTAGGGTTGGTTTCTTTAGTATGGGCGTTGCAGTTTAGGGCCTCTCTAGTGCAGCCGATGAGCAGAGCATCCATGCCAGAATCGTGATAGCGTCCGTACGGTTTAGGACTTAGGGTTTAGGGTTTAGGGTTTAGTGCGCTAACAGCATCCATGCCCGATTTGTGTTCTGCCCGGCGCCGCCCAGAAGGTACTGCGCTTGGATGCTGTCTTTATAGACTAGCATCCCAACAGAAGAGCTTGTTTGTCTATGTTGATGAAATCCCGAACTATACGGTTTTGTTTGTGTTTCTTCATATACTGTCGGGCTGAGCGTTTAAGGTTCAGGAATATTTGCGGTGGATTTCGGGTGGCGGCTTTGGACGATTAGGGCTTATATAAGTTTCGAGACGTTTAGGGATACTCTTTTCGGGTTCAGGGTTCAGGAATTTCAAGGGAAAGGGGGGGCTTTGGGGTTTGAGGGTGTTTGGGGTTGAAGGGATGTTGAGGATGGCTTTTTGGGGTTTAGGGTTCAGGAATTTTTGTATTTGACTTCGGCTGGTGGGTTTTGGTGTTTAGGGTTTCGGGATGTCTAGGGCTTAGGGTTTTGAGGGTTGGTTTTGGGCTTAGGGTTTAGGAAATTTAGGGATGCTCAGAGAGAGTTGCGGATTGAAGGTTAGGGTTTAGGGTCTACGACTGGCAACAGCCGGCGATTCGCAAGGCGCTTTCCATCTTCATGCGTCTGGCATTTCCATTTCGACGTAGGTAGCTTTCTAAATCAGGGCCGCTTTTCAGGTCACTGAAACAGCTCGTTTCGAAGCCCGCACATGACGCCCGTCCCAACCCACAGCGTTTGAGGCGGCCAAAGCACCCCATCCTATTATTTGTTTCAGAGACCCAACCTCGCTCGACATGACGAGTTGTCTTTCCTCCTTGCTCCGGGAATCTCCAGAGACTTTCAGCTGCCATTTCGAGGCCACCAGACAGGACAGAGAGCCAGAAACCCCGAAACCCCGAAACCCTAAGTCCCAGCAAAACCCCTGAAAGCCCAACGCACAGCCCACAGACGGCTCGGAACTCGAAACGCCGACAGGATGCCGCCCGACACCCGCACAAGAGCAAGTCAAAATCAGGGTGTACAGCTTTAAAGTGCGGTTTGGGGGCATGGTTTAAAACCCTAAACCCTAAAGGGGTCTGCAAATATCTCTGCCTTTGCAAGGGCGGCGCTCGTGCCAAGAACCCCTTCATCGAGTACGACGTCCGCGAGAAGAGGCTGAATCAGGCCCCGGCCCCGGTCACGTACGTTTTAGGGTTTAAGGTTTTAGGGTGTCTCTGAAGTGATGCATGATACTGTCAGCGATCGTTGGGAGGCGCATTTAAGATTTCTACAGATCGGCCGGCAAACCTGCAGGTCATGAGATCGGATCTTCCGGATAAACTCTGCTTGCGCTTGACGCTTTGTCTGTTCTGTACCGCTTGTCCATGTAGTGTAGGAGGAGCGTGACCTGCAAAAGCAACGGGAGCTGCACAATCGAAGCCAGCACAAGAAGGGAGGGTACACAATACTCAACGGCATGGTTCAGACGACTGAATTGATTGTGCGATGACGTGAAAATGCGCACGGCCAAGCTTTATGATTGAAGATTCGGTCATTGATGGCGACGTCTTCAAGTTCGGGACAAGCCGGGCTGTGCGACACGAACCCCCACTCCCGCACGATTTGTGGTTGCTTGGTCTTGTCACACATCCTTTTTCACTGATCTAGAATCTTCTGGCTTGGGCAGCGGCAGTCATCAGCACTAACTTCTGCAACACAGCAGATCCTACCTGCTGCGTCAGGGGAGTGGATGACAAAGGAGGTGATGTTTGGACGCCTCGGCTTCAAAATCGCCACGTCCCCGCAACCGCTGGGAAGTGAGTGAATGAGCCGATGCTGTCTTCAGGACTTTGGGACTCATCCTTTGTTTCATGCCGAAGGGGCCATGCAACTGGTGACTAAGTCTGCGGTGAAGGCTTGGAAAGCGACAGAAGTCTGTTGCTGAACAAGTCATGGGCCCTGGGAACACGAGACGCCCAATTTGAAAAGTCAACAGCTTGAGATGGGCAGTTGGGCCCGAAGGGCAGTGCACGAAGAAGAGTGCGAAAGCATCGGTTTTTTAGACTGGGAGCCCAAGAGAGGATGCTGGTAGTGCCGCCTTAGGAAGCATCGCAAGCGAGCGCATAGCACCTCTCGTAGCCAGAAGTATTTGGATCTCTGGCTTTTGTCCTCTCTTGACCATTCGTGTCACTAGATTGCACAGCTTGCTAGGAACGCAAATGGCTACAAGAAGACTCTCGGTTTCTTGAGCAGCGAAGAGAAGAACTTCGACTGGGTGCCCTGTTGAATCAGCTGAACATTCAGACACTTTGCTGCACGAGGCCATGTGTGTCCGTTTGCAGACTTTGGTCAATTAATGCCAAGCTTCTTTTGGTTTGTCAAGTCCCCAAGCCTCAGGAATGATCCAGACGATCAGCTCTATGAGTTTCTCGGATTGGTTTGCGCAGTTTCACAGACCGACAGCTTCCACAGCTCTCAGGAATCGCACGTTCTACGGCCCGCATTCTATGGCAATGAAGGCCACCAAGGCGAGACGAAATCACAGGCAGAGGGTCCGATAAAGCCAGCGCTTGATCAGTGATCCCTTGAGATCTTCTTGTCGAGGGCGCGTCCGCGCACGAACTCGGCGCCAATCCCCGAACGCCCTCCCAAGGAGGCGGGCTTATTTGCTGCTCTCTTGCTCATGTCCTCTCCTGCAAAACTGGCTGCTGGGTGTTGGCGCTTCAGCTTCAGGCTGTCGGCGGCCGCAAGTTCCCGAAGGCAGAACGCAAAAGGCAGTTATGGCATCCAGAGTTCTCGCATGCCACGTGGTCAGGAGCGCGCCACTGCTGCTCTAAAATCACTGTCGCAGGCTGCGAGTCTGCGAGTTGAAGACTTGACACTGCTCAGAAAGTTCAGGCTGCAGTGACAGGTTATTTACCTGTGCCTTCGTACCTCAACGCATCATCCACGGCAAGTGCTTCTGACTCATCTGTCGAGTCTCAAACCTAGAGAAACTGCATGTAGCTGCAGTTCGTAGAAGCCACCAGGTGGCTGGTCCTGTTTCAAGTTCTGCGAGGGTAAACCCCAAACAGTCAAAGAGGACCACAGTCCACAACGCGCACCAAACTGTCTCGGGAGGGGGGAACATGACTCGCAGCCCAAGTGCAAGGTGCTATGGCGCATGCACATTTCGCGCAAATCACGTCGTTCGGAAAGTCCAATACTTGGCCAGGCCCGAACTTGACAAATCTCCTACCACAGTGCCTTCCGTATCCCTTGCAGAACTCGTTCACCCGTCGCAGCGCCCTGCCTAGTGTACCTTCAACTCGAAGTCACTAGAGTCCTCTGAAGTCCTAGCAGGGCAACACTTTTAAGCTGACAGTGGCGCCGTGGAATGGTCGAGAAACCCATTCCATGGGGTTCCGAACTCATTCGATCATCCCCCTGCAGTGTCATGGTGTCGTGCGCTTTCGTGTTCCCGCCCGCGCCCCAGCGAACCGCCCCACACGCCTGTCGTGGACAGCGATCTAATAAGCTCCGCACAATGTTACCATGCTGTTTGGGAAAATCGCTTATCAAACTCATCGAGGGTGCCTTGCCAGGTCCTGAAGAACTCTAGCGAGGACGTGCAGCAACGCCGACAACTCAGAGTGCAACGTGAACACACCTGTCCTCCACTCATGCCAGCTGAGGCTTCAAGAGTGAGCTTAGGACCCCGGCTTAAAGAGAAAGTGCACCATGTCTAGTTCGTACGTAGGGTCATAAAGATGGATCACCGATCTCATGATGCCAAGTTGCCGTAGCAGGAAGAGCGGCTACGGACCGCCAGAAGATTCAGCCGATGCTCCGAGGAACAGGTGCAGCACCGGTGTGAGCTTCCAGTGGAGCTGGACCGAACCCCTGTTGGCCCATAAGGCCAATGCTCTTCTTTTCTCAGGCTGTTCGCCTTCACACGCCTCGGTGCAGAAGCCAACGCTCGCTCCTCAGCCCACTGCCCTCCGTCGCCGCCTGACTCTCTCCACGTTTTTCAGAGGGTGCTCAGCTGCTTTAAAGTGCCGCGTTGTCGCTTTCGCCAGACCCTGGCCCAACAGAAGCTTCTTTCGTAGCCTCCAGCAAGGGCCCTTCTGGGATCACGGTGATCTCTGTTGGCAGGAACACGCAATCTCGAGGAGCTGCTCAAAGAGTTCGATGAATTTTTAAGTCCCACTCTTTCTTTTCGCCTCGCACACGCGCACAAGGCGCACGTTGCTAATGCGCTGCCATTCCCAGGCAGCTAGAGGCCTGCCCAGGCTCTTGATGTCTCTTGCGAGCAGGCACTCGGAACCCTATGGTTGACCGGAGCCTGCTGGTTGCACTTGTGCAATGGAGGAAGCGTACAGAATAGACAAAGGGTATCATCCAGTACTGGTGTCGCACGCGCAAGTTCTCAAGGTCCCATGAAGGCCCATGACATTTACTAGCTGGTCTCATTGCTTCCACCATATCAGATAACATATCCTTGAGTAAATAGAAAGATGTGTGAAGCCCGGCACCGCGCATATGCGTGAGTTGCCGCAAGAGCTTGTACATTTGCTGCGTGTCATGCAAGTAGCTGTTCACAGCGATGGCAGAACAGCTCTACAAGCAGCACTCGTCGTGGCCGCTACTCAGCCCTGCAGAAAACAAGGGTCTTTTGTGTAGCTGTCATTCCTTTGTCATCTTGTGGGTGCCATGAGTGCCAGTGCCTGCGCTGCAGCACGAAATGGTGGCCCCGTTGGCTCAGACGTGCAGTTTGGCAGTCTTGGGCTGGGACTATGTTGACTATGAGTAGATAGGACGTTGTGACAGGTCCTCAGCAGCAGTCGGAGCTCCGTACCAGAGGGAGCACTGCAACCGTTCAGCTCCAGGTCATCTCATGCGATGCCCGAGATAATATACCGGGAGCCGCGCAGCACACAGTTTCCCTTTCATGCGGCTGTGCTTCAATGTGAGTCAGCATCCCTGAGTCAAGTATGGCCCAGGCCGTGGCAAGTGAACAAGTGTGCACAAGGCATATACTTCTACAACGAGGCAGCGCAGTTGGCCATGGAGTGCAAGCAGGGATTGCTGGCGGTTGGGGCTTTGTGGCGATCAGCGACAAAAACTAAGATGTAAGCCCCCCACACACATTGATGTTTATCCAAAAAAGATCGTGATCAAACACAGGCCTTGCAAACTGTCACTCGCATTGCCCAAGAACACTGCTGGCCATTTGTGCTCCACATGCTTTTGTTTGAGCTGGTTGCACCTTTGATTCTTTGTTTGCGGCTGGTGTACCATATCATATCAGTCACCGCATTCTAAGCATGGGTTTCGCTGTCCTGTATAACGCTACCATGGGGTTGCACCACGCAGAGTGTCCGACAGCCCTGTGTGATTTCAAAACCTGCTTCCGGTTGAGCGTTCAGGGGCGGGGGCGACCCGACACATGTAAGACGAGAGCCAGGACAAGATGCAAGCAGAATTCCGAAAATAAATAAGATGATAATGATGCACAGAGCCGCCCTGAGCGTCCTCAGCATATGTCCAAACTTGGCGACGGGCAGGTATGAAATCATGAACCCACGGCTAGAACAGCAATCTACATCTCTAGCAAGAACGGACCTTCGAGCAACAGGAAACGATTTTTCACTGTGTTGGCCCGCCACGACAGTGTCTGTCTCATGAGTACGACAGTTCGTGGTGGCAGGGAGCTAGCGGATGCAACAACACCAACCTCAAAAACAGGAGAAAGGCATGCCATCATCACATCGTGTTCAGCCTTGTTTTCACGGCATTTCTCGGCGGCAGCAAGATACATCCCTGCTCAGGCGACCACAGAGTCGTTTTGGACGCAGCCTCGCGAGTTGGAAGGATGGCAGCAGCGACAGGCAACACGGTCTCGCCTCGACGGCCTTCGAACTTCGGAGTTTCCGAAAAGAACGGGTACCTTGTTTGGGGGTCCTTAATGGTTAGGATCCTTCTATTTAGGGTGCTATATTCGCGTCCCCTATTTAATCATGCTTCGTATTCAATTTGTGGATAGCACTTCTCCAGTCCCTGGTCTGCATCCCTTGTACTCGTAAGCCCTCCCCCGCCAGTACAGGCTGGATCTCAAGCTCCACAGCCACAGCAACCTGCGCCTCAGGCGGGTGATGGCTAAAAGACTTGCGTCGACTCTTTTTGGGCATGCATGAGATCGCTCGGAAGTGCTGTTCATGCACTTGTCGACCTTGATAGCATCATGCCCTGTGTTCCTCCTCATGACTACAAGCGCGAGAGATCTTTAGAAGATCTCAGGTCAAGGGAGTAAGGAAAAAGGACATGCATCTCCGAAACTATCGATATTCCAACGGAAGGTCCCAGAATTCTTCAGGAACTTGCACCTACAGTCGCGTCGGCCTGCATGAAGGTAATTGTGCTAAGGTTTTCATACAAGAAGCACTCTAGAATCAAGAGCTGTGCGATATTCGACGGCCGGAGCTGCATCCGAGTATATAGTACCTCTAGTCTGATCAACATGGGTCAAAACTTCTCATTCATTGCCAGTTGCTCAGGCGCAAGCTTATCCACAGCACCCACCACATCCACATCCACAGCCCGCCCCGCATCCGGGACAATCAAGCGCACCACCGGCTTATGCCGTGCCAGGCTCGTGAGAAAGAAGCAGTTGATGCAGTTGGCATCATGCGGGTGCATTGCGTGCTGCTTGAACCTCAGCCTCCAGGACCGCACGGAGCACCTCACCATCCACCGCCAGGACAGGCTTGGGCAGGCATTACTGCATGTCACTGCAACGGACACGTCGAATTAGACAGGTGGGCCAGTCCAATATCACACATCGCCACAGCCGCATGCGCCTCCCAGCGCCGGCCTTGGCCTTCGACTTTGTTTCCTCGCTTCCCTAGAAAACTGAGCCGAGGCTACCCGCCGCCAGGCTATGCACCACCAGCCTGTCCGCCGAGCTATCCTCACGGATACCCTCCTGGCCCTGCACACGCCCCACCAGGCCGGAGAAGCAGAGTTTAGAGCCGGACTAAGGCTTTTTCGTGGCCAGGCTATGCCAGTTACGCACCGCCTCCGGCCGGCTACTATCCACCGGGCTACCCAGCCCCGGCCTGTGCCGCACCGCCAGGCATGCCTTTGCATGCCTTTGCTGAAGATTTCCGAGTCGCCGCAGTTGAAAGTGTGCAGGCTACCATCCATATCCGCACCCGCCACATCTTGGAGCTCCAGCACCTCCGGCGCGCGCACCACCGCCTCCCGCTCCGCAGCCTGAAAAAGACGAGCGAGCAGAGAGGGCGAGATCTCGATCTCGATCGAGAGATAGAGGCGTCTTGGGTGGAAGTGGCGAGTGCTGAGGAGCTCTGAGCTTTGTTATTTTCATTGGGAAAGGTGAGAACGGCCGCCGACGGGGTGGAGGCGGAGGTGGCAGCGAATGTTACTGCTGTGGCGAGCTGCACCCTCAGCCCTGTGCTTGTGCTCTTGGTGTTTGACCTCATGCCTGGACGAGGTCAGGCCATCTGGCTCGGGAATGTCCAAACAAGGGCAAAGAAGGCTTTCGAGAAATGTGTGGAGATCTCAGTTGGCTCCAGTCCAAGCATGGAAAGCAGCATCTGCAGCTTGCGCTGCCCGGCACTGGCTCTTAAAAATGATCAGACACCAGGCGAAAGGTCATCTGAGCAGCAAAAAGAAGCAATATGCACAGCTGCACTTGCTGCTCTCTAGCCGCTCTAGCCGGTGTCGTGCTCACGAGGGAGACGGCCACCCGCTCAAAGCGAGACCCAGGGAACATGCTGCACACTCTTCGCATGAGTGTAAGGTCGTGAGGAGATATACATGAATGAGAGCCTTGTCTAAACACTTCCCTGCATTGCAGCCTGCCCCCTACATCTCAGGTGGTGACTTTCGGAGGGGCGAATGCAGTCGCGGCTCCTGGGATTGATTCTGCATGATTCTGCATGAGACGGTACTCGTACCACTCAAAGTCCACTTCAGCTGAAGTGCAGGCGATAAGTGCCGCTACTCTCATGGCTCTGCAGGAGGTCGTCGCTGACCTCAGGCACACGTCTGCTGCGATTGGGTTGAAGTCCACCGTGCTCACGGTAGTTCTTTGGAGGAAGGACATTGGAGCATCCGAGACACCACGTGGATGTGGCAGGATCGCATGTTGCTGAAATTCGAAGCAGTGATGCTGCAAGCATTTCCAGCTGCAGGTGCAGCAGGCAAAGCGTGAAGGGGCACATGCTCAGGTAAGAAGCAATTACTTGTAGTAGGTTTCAGCCTGGTTCTTACCAGTATGTCATGGTCATTAGCCATCACATATCCATGTACCTAAGAGCATTAGTTGTAAGAGCTTGCTGGCATGGTGAACCTTCTGTGTGCTGTTGCATGCTGTGTGAACTGCCGCGCGAAAAAGATGCCCGGCTTGCGTGTCATCTCATCGGGAAGGCCGTTTGAGCAAGTGCTTCATGCACGCGCTGCTTTCACCCTGTCAGCTTGACGTCGCCAGTCCTGGTAACCCATCATATGTGCAAAAGGCAGTTTGCCAGAGCAGTTCAATAATGTGCAGGAGGGGTTGCAAATAAAGAGCTGTTCAGACAGTATGATGTGCCAAAAGCCGGCTATCGCTTACATCAGACAGGCATCACAACTCTTCGATAGTACTGATTCATGCTATGAGAAACCTCGCTTAACATCGTGTGTAGTTCATGGTGCGCGTGAATGGGCTGCATCCTCATGCCCAAAGCAAAGGAGAGATGTCCAAACTCGCAACAGCGAACGTCACAGTGCCCTCATCGAACAGGCCTCGAGCTCGCTTGCATCTTCGCCTCCCGCGCATGGACGCAGCGTATACATTCACAAGGCGCTGGCCGACCCGAGTCTCGTCGGCCAGGCTCGCAGCGTCTGGTCGTACGACAAGTATGAGACGATGCGTCGATTCGCCCCAGGCGAAAGAGATGAAGGAGCTCTACACCAAGCAGGTCCGCAGCGAAGCAAAAAAAGGTCACGTGGTACCAGCGCATCCAGCGCGCTCTGGCGCGGCTCCGAGCAGCCCCGGAGTTGTTGCTTTGAGGACACTGGGTTCGCCAATTGAATGCAAAAGCAGAGTTTCGTGTTTTCCAAGGGCCGCGCACGTCAGCACGATCTGAAGCAAGAAGTTGAACGCAGGATAGTTCAATGGAATCTCAATTGCCTTTGTGGCATCGACGGGCAGACACCCCAACGAGCTGCAGACGTGATCAAAGTGTTGGCGCCGTGCAACGCAGATGTGCTGGTGCTTCAAGAGGCCAGGCATTGCCCAGGGCTTAACCGATGCTTCTCTGTCGAGCTTTCGTGTCAGATGCCACGCGGGCCTGCCCAGAGTTGGTGGTGGGAACCGTGGCGATCTACTTTCCCAGCTGAAGAGATGCGTGCTTTGGAGACGGGTCTACAAGAACTTGGGCCTCTCGGCTCTTAAATTCGAGAGAGGCAAGGCAGCTTCTCACCCCCCCCCCCCGGGATTTCTTCCGGTGCCGTGAGGTATCAGACTCAGCTGAGAAGCAGCTGTTTCAGCTCGACCCTTCTGTGCACACGATTGACCGTGGTAGCGGTGTCGGAGGCCAGCCTGGACTCGGAGCATCTTGGCGGCAGTGACTCTGTCACAATCAGCTCTCCGGGGTATCCTGGCGATACTTTGCGGGTCGAGAAGCCGAGGCATGATTTCCGGATGCCAGAGGATCGCGCTGCACTGCTCGTCTCCCTCCGCCTGGAGGCTGACGCCGACGGCCTCATTGCCGCTTGGTGTCTGAAAGTTGGAAAGTTGAGTGAATAGGGCGTCGAAATCCGTCGGCTCGCTAGCTTTATCCGCGAGGTCACTATTTGTGCCACGCACTTCCATCACCAGGACACAGAGTTTGTTGACTTGACGAACTCTTCTTGGACCTTATACATGCCTGTGTCTGTGTGTGTGTGTGCGTGTGTTAAACTCTTAAGCATGTCAGAACTTCACGGTGAACGACAAGGGGGTCCGGAAAGCAGAGGCTGAGCTGCTTCTGCGCCACTGTGCCACCAACACCCCCAGCGACAGCCGATGTACACTGATGGTGGCTGATTTCAACCAGGTGCCTCTCTTGATCCTTCTATCCCATCTTCTGTTATTTCAGTTTTGTAGTTGCATGTGAAGTGCATTTAACCAGGGTTGTCGTAAAAAGGACTACAGTGTCAGCCTTCGCAGCAACTGAAGAAAGCCATGTATCCTGAAGGCACGACGTGGCGACTACTCCGCCGAGGAGTGGTCCGTCATCTCTGCAGGTCTTCGTTCCATTAAAGAGCCCGAGGACGACGGAGTCGCAGAGCTCCTCACTTCACAGGGCTGGGTTTGTGACTTGGCATAGAAGAGCAAGGGCATGAAAGTAGAGTCGGAGCCTTGGCTAGAGGAAGCGAAGGCGCTTACGTCCTTTTTCTTTTTAGTAGGATACATTCATGTAAGGCTCTTACGACATTGCCGCAGAGCGGAATTGGCGAGGCGCTTCACCCCCATTTACCCACTGGACAGGCACGACAGTCGACTACACGTACATGCTGGCTCCAGCAGACCGCGCAAAGGTGTCTGCACACCTCTTGCACAGCGATATTTCGGATCATCTGCCAATCATGACGCATGTGAGCTTCTGATATTGTCTCCAAGAAGATGAACTGCTGCTTCGCTTCACCGATGGCATAGCCGGCTAGGTTGACCAAGCTCTTTCTCTGCACCACAGACGGAGCTGCTTTGTGAGCATGCAACCCGTCGAATCAGATTCGGCTGCTGCCCAGTCACGACGAAGGACGAGAAGATGGCACAGACTAGCACGTCACAAAAAGGCCTTTTCTGGAGAACCGGGGTGTGAGCGAAACATTGAGCACAGGCCTTGAGTTCATCCGTTGGCGAGAATGCACATCCAAGTCCAAGAATCCACTTGGAGTTTGTGCAGTCTGCATTTCAGTGTACAGGCATCATCGGGGCAAAAGCTGTGAGAGTGCAGCTGCTGACACCCGAAAGCAGCAGAGAAGCTCACTGAACCCGGCCTGTGTAGGGCCACCATGGGCGCTGGCCAACTTGCCTCGGCTCAAAGACGAGCCGAAAGAATCCTTCTCACTATCTCCGAAAGCAAAAGTAAAGATTCGCGGATCTCAAAACTCGGAAGTTGCAAGCCAATCAGTATGCAGAGTCTTCTTTCGCTCCGAAGCGTCATAAGATGGCGGCGGCTGTCCGTCCGAGCCTCCAGGAGCTCGCCAGGCTCTGGGGAAGGACAGAACCCAGCCGGTCGCAGCACAGCCACTGACGAAGTGCAAAGCAAAGGACGTGGAGCTCGGCTCGGACCTTTGCAGTGCGTGCTGAAGGCGGCGCTGCTTTTTCTCTGCGTGTTCTTCTGAGTGTTGACTGACAGGGAGCAGGAGCAGAGCTTCGGAGACGCTCCGCCCAGTGGCGCGACTGAAGGAGGCGAGGAAGCTCCGATCAAGAGACTACAAAGGATGCAGGTGACAGCACTTTCCCCAAGATAAGCTCCGTGTGAGTGTCGAGGCCTTGCCGCGTCAGCTGGCCTTAAACATGGGTCACCCGTGGATCTATGACGATGAAGTGAGCAACATCGGTGACTTGAACGGCATCGATGCTGGCACATTGGCACCAACCTCAGGCACTGAAGCGATGCAATTCAGCCTTCGGCTTGTCTGGGAGCTTCTCTAAGGTGGACATCATTAGCTCAGATGGGGCCACGGAGTTGGGAGTGGGAGTCCTCAACAGGCGTTTAGCAAAAAGCGACCGGGAAAGACACAAGAATCCGATGTGGTTTCGAAGTTCCCTTTTTCTGCAGGCAGGCCTCAATCGTGCTGCGTCGGATGGAAGGCCTATCCCCCGGCATGGAGGTGACGCAGGAGACTCCCAGAAACGAAGCGACGCAACGAGCGACCGCGCTGCCATGTGAGGAGCTGCTCCAAGTTCGCTTGCGCAAGGCTTTTGCAGCACGTGATCAACTTGGCGGAGGGAGCTTCTGCCGTGCTGTGCATGGGGAACAAGACGGGCTTCCAGGTCGGCATCCAAGGGCCCTTTAGGAAAACATCAACTTTGCATCAGATCGAAGGTGTCATTGTCGACCGCTTTGGCAAGTCAGCTGTTGTGATCTTCGAGTCGGTGGGATCTGCAAAGCTGGAGCTGGTGGTTCAGGAGGAGCTCACCCGATGGATTGGAAAGCTTCAACAGTTGATTTCCAACTTCATCAGAACCCTTTTGGTGTCATGTTGTGCTGCGCGGTGCGCAGGTGCATTGTGTGATGAGGGTTGGAAGAGACTGAGGACGGTTCATCGCATGACTGCGAAGAAGGAGAAGTGGGCTCAGGAAGGTTCGGAGTTTACCACCAGCATCACACGAGGCGACAGCTCAAAAGTCTGGCCCTCAGGACATTGCCGAGAGGCGTTTGCAAGACACTCTTGCATGGCTTTAAGGTGCGGGTAGAAGAAGGCGAAGGCAGCAGCCAGCTGTATTTCGACATTGATGTTTTACAGGGAGTTTTGGTGGGCCACTGGAACTATGGACTGGAAAAGATGAGGAGAGAACTGACGGCATGCTTCGGCCAAGGCTTCTTGGCCTTGGTTCTGCAAGTAGTCTGCTATTGAGCTGGCCATTGTCGACCGCTCACGCAGCTTACCGATTGGACTTACCAGTAGGGGGTGCATTGGAAGATGGGCCGTCTGAGGACGACGAGACGTATACAGTAATTCAGGTGTTCGTTTGAGCGCTCGATGTGCGGGAAAGCTCCGAGATCTGACAGCACAGGAATCTAGAAGAACCAATGCCTAATGTGTCGGTACCCTCCAAGTCAACTCCGAAGCGAGCCTTACAACGATCCGAAAAAATGCTTAACACGTAAAACCATATATAGTACAATGTACGGAAAGTGGGTAAGTAATGCAGCACAACATAACATAAGACATCGTCACATGGAAGAGTGGACCAGGGCGGTCGCCGTCAGCAGGGTTAGCACATGCCCGGGTGTAGACGGTGGACCACGACGGTGTTTTACTTCAGGTTTGCAGTCAGGAGGAAATCTAGGGCTATGGTACGCGGGTACGCTGGGCTGCAAGCTGAAGCAAGGGGCCAAAACCAGATCTACAAGCTCGGATCATGCTGGGTAGGAATGCCATGGGTGTTCTGACTGACATGAGGTACTGTTCTGGATGCTTGGGCGCAAGCAGGACAGTGGGGTATCAGGTGTGCAAAGGCTGGTGCAGAAGAGGTGGTGCTTCTAGAAGACACCCTCGGACTTGCCAAGCTTTGCCGGGAGAATGCGATCCTCAACAGCATCTTGGCAGCCAAAGGTTACTGCGGCATAGTGCAAAGCGGAAATCTAAGACGTCAAGAACACAGGTGTGGAAGAACAGTGCACGATCCTTCATCGTGGAGACGTGACAAGTGAACTTCGAAATATGGTCACCTGGATAAACGAGAGGAGCGTTCACCGCCTCCAAGCACTGTGAGCTATAAGTTTGCTTCTTTTTGTGGGCATTTTGAGCCTGTGTATGCCCTTAGAGGCCAATCGATGCCCAACATAAGGCGACAAGCGGAATACGATTCAATTGCGTTTCCCTCAATATCCGAGTACGCTGACAGCTCGGCATGTCCACTGCTCACTGCTTCCGGGCGGGCAGACTGCAGGGTTTCACATCCTTTCCGCAAGGTTTCGAGCGCTACTTCAAGCACCAACGGGGCCAATTTGGCAAGTGGTACAAGCCAAGCCTCAAAGGATACGAGAGGGCAATTACTCTGGGAGCTCCTTGAACTCGAAATAATAGGGTTTTGCGCAAAGTTTAGGGTTTAGGGCCTTTAGGGTTCTCGAGTTCTCGGGCATGGGCGAAGGAGGCGCGAAGGAGGCGCGAAGCAGCGGGCGAGCCCAGCTAAGGCCATGGTGACATCGCGAAGTGGATATTTGGTCGTGACATTCCTTCTGCCATTGACAACCGAGTACTGGGCGCTTTGTTTGGTGCAAGGACGGGAATGTGGTGATAGCTGGTTAGACACTCCGTTTACGTTTGGCAGGTGCATTGGAAAGGGCGTCTCGAATTGGGAGCATCATTTACTTCTCCACCGGCATCAACGAGTTTCTTGGTCTCAAGTTGTGCCATGTTGCTATTTTAAACTTTCGGAAGGCCTGCAGGGAGGGAACGGTACAGAACGTGCAAGAAAGAGCGTGAGGGGCAGCCGGGAAGAGACTGGAGCGCGACATCGCGACAAGTGCGATAGGAGAAACGTTGATGAGAATTGCCCGGCAGCTCTTCTCGTTGGGAAATTGTAGGGGCTGTTGATTTTAAAGCCCTGAACTCCAAGAGTAGATGGAATTTACTCTCTTGGCCTTTTTCGTGCAGCACTTAAGCCGACAAGAAACCTTAGGAGCCCTTTACTTTAAGTTGTGGCGCAGCACGTGGGAGCCGCGAGTTTCACTTCCGCCAGGGCCACTAGGCTCGGTTTCTGGGTCTGCGGAGTTTTTTGAGCAGGGTCAACATAGGCCCTGTACCCATACATTTGACACTGCATCCAAAAGCTTTCTAGAACTGAGGATGTTGTGGGTTAAGCTGCACGCCTGCAAACCAGATGAAAGGCATTTTGACTAAGTAAGTCCTGAACAAGAAGTTGGAAAGCGAGGCACTTTGCCACAAAACCGAAGACTCGAAGCGTTCATGGGGATTGGTACAACAAGCCAGGGAGGAGAAGCTGGGGAGAAAGCCCTGAATCGCAAAAAAAAGAGCACCTTCTTGAGCCAACTGCCAACTCAACAGATGCAAGGGCAGAGAAGAGAAGCCACAAGCAAATAAACGTAGATGTAACACCTGTGACCATTTGGGAACCGAGAGTGAACAGACCATGGTCTATAAAGGGACGCCACTGATTTTTGGGTGTGGCAATTCTTGAACTCCGACTTTTCTATCTATTTATGATAGTGTCTCCAATGTGTCCACTCAGGGATTCGGCCATGCCCTCTTCAACCATGGATGAGTTCTGGACGCACGTGCTTATCTGCGTGAAGCTGTCTTGAAAAAGGAAGCCTAGGATATAGTTGCTGGACTTGTTCGGTTGGTCATGAAGGCGCCGCACACAGAACACAAGATGATTTGTTGGATGCATGTTGCAGCAGGTCTCGTACCTCTCCACGACCAGGAACGGAAGGTAGCATTGACAAAGGGCACGTTGCCACTTCTACCCTCTCACGGAGACGCACATCGCAACAGATCAACAGATCCTTGCACAATGCTTGCTAGTGGAGCACATGCGCTAGCAAAAGTACGATGTGGCAAAGCAATGCTGGCTTCTGCCTCCCGAAGAGTAGTTGTGCCGTGGACTCAGACTGTTGCGAGATGTTGCGAGCATTTACGCTGGATTGAAGCATTGCTGCTACACAGCAGGCACCAACAGCTGCTGCCGAAGAGCTGTTTGTGCGGGCGACCTCTGCGATACAGTACCCAGCTTATGGTGTTTCCCTGTAATTATTGGTCATGGTACACTAACATTTGTTAGACGGTCTTGGGTTCCGTGCTTGTTCTGGCATTTGCTTCGTTGCTGCAGTATCTCACATTGCCGAGGCAGCAGGCAAGACCAGGCATGGTGGGACGAGGACCGAGCCGGACAGCTGCGCTCTGATCAGAGTACTGGGTCGCGGGCATGGTGGTTATTGCCGCTTCGTTCTGTACAGGAGTTGGATCGACGCCGCCGTGGCAACAAAGTAGGGCGGCAAGAAACAGTGAAGCAGGCATGGGCGAGCAGGGCAAACTAGGAAATTCGGTTGGGTCGTTGGCGGATCGTGTTAGACCTGGCTGCGCGGACGGCTTCGGATGCGCACCAAGTCCAATCCTTCCTGTGATGTGTGGTGATAATGTTGTGATGAGACTCTGGTCGGGCAGCTTTGCAATGGTTGACTCATGCGTTCTATCCCGACCAGTGCACCGCAGTCAGTCAGATTCCTTTGTGGCCTAAGCCTGATAACTTGGACAGCGTGCCATTGCCCTCTTCTGTCCTAAGTTCCAAGTGTGCCACGCTGCGTGAAGCATTGCCACATGTCCCTATCCTGGTGCCCTGGAGCTTCAAGGAGGAAAGAAAGGCTGGTATCCAGTTGGAAGCTCAACGAAGACCGGAGCGCCAGGCCTGTGCAACATAGCACTTCAATAACTATCAGACACACACACACACAAGCATAAACCGAAAACCCCAGAACCCCAAGCTTTAAATCCGAAACTCCAAAATCAGAGGAGATCCAGCAGAGCGCAGCCGAGATGCAGCTCTTTGCGTCTGCTGAGAACCAGTGCCTGCCTCGGTTATGGTCACAGCATGAGGCTATGAGAATGGTGCAAGCTCTGTTTCTTCTCGCTTCATACTGCTGCTGCTGCTGCTGCTGCTGCTGCTGCTGCTGCTGCTGCTGCTGCTGCTGCTGCTGCTGCTCACTCAGAAGCTTTCATAGTCAATCTAGCACCCCTTGCAGTCGCAGTTGCGAACCGAGATTGCTCGGCAGCCAAGCGCGACGGTGTTCATGCGAAGAAGCCTCAAACGACCTCCTGGTTTCGTTCGGGTTGCAAAGAAGCAGGCGAGTTCACCTACAACAAAACATCTATGCACACGGCACACGAGACTGAAGCTCGATTTGAACGTCATTCGGGGTGCAACTAACCAGAAGGGTTTCGCTCCGGACTTGTTTTCTCCAGCTGCGCAACCCTGCTTACTTATTCCCTGCAGTCGACGCATCTTTACACCTACGAGAGCAAGCAGAAGTCTACACTGCCGGAGCCCCGTCCTTCAGGAAATGATCAGAACGAGGAGGTTCAAGATGGCGGGGGTTGGAACCTGTGGTTCAGCACAGAGGCAGCATCCTGAAGAGGCGGACGAACAAACCACTGCGTTGTCGCTCACACCCGAACAACGGAGAGAGCACCACTCCCAACCGAGCCAGTATGCAGCCGCTTGTATAAGCAAAAAGAGTTAAAGACTCGGGGACCACAGATCTGTCTGTGCAGCGAGCGAGAAGCCGACGTGGATGCAACGCCGAATCCCTGCGCGAACAACCGTCCACTGAGATGACACTAATGTCAGCATCCAACTCCGACAAGAGTCCGTGCCTGCATGGGCTTGGAGGGCGAACTTGTGCGGAAGTATCGCCTGGCCGAATGCCTCGGCAAAGGGACAGAGCACGGTGCGTGGCCCAGGCCCGCTTTGCTGGGCACCATGAATGCCACTCGAAGACTCCGCTACTGGAGCGCCACTCTTGTTCAGCAGGTGGGCAATCGACGACGCACATTGTCGCTGTTTGTCGGAAAGTGATACAAACAAGCTACAAGTAGCAGCTTTTCCTGAAATAGCTTAGCAGTGGACCACCTGTAGCAAACTGACGAGCAGGACCAGAAGTGCTTGGAGAGAGCGCATTTCGGAGCAAAAAGCTGAAAACAAGCTCGCGCAAGAGAAGTTCGTGAGGAGTAGCAACGGTGGTTGCAACCCATAATCATGATCCGAAGCATGTAAGGCAAACTTGGTTCTGCCAGATGGTTGACAGCATTACCCCAATGGTGTTTGAGCGAGCCACTTCCAGCTGCACATATCGCGCTGAACTTTGTTGTTGCGAATCTGAGGCGACCTCCGTGGGCGGTGATATTTCTCCTGCTGGCCTCTGGCGGGCTTACAGCTGCTACGACTGCTTTGTGGGCAAAGGCACAAACAAACATGTGCGACCTGTAGATCGTGCTTGTGTGCCGTAAGTGCGCTCGAAGTCTGTTTATGAGCAAATCTTCAGTTGCAGTGAGAATGTGTTGAGAAGATCTGAGAAGTAGGTTGGGAGCAGTTCCGTGATACTCGTACCAGACACGCAAGCCTGCAGAGGTCAGTCAGTCGCAATCTTTGGAAGAGCTTCAAGAAGAACTTCAGAATTTCTGCTGGATGATTTCGGGATGTTCCGTCAGCTTGCCACAGCTGCAGGCCGCCCGGAATCAAGGATGGTGTTGTTTAGGGCAGTTGAGGACTTTAGGGCTTCGTTTTTGGTCTCAACATTTTTGTCGACTGTGGTGTTGACGTTAGTTTAGGATTTTTGAAGTCTGGGGCTTGCGGCATCCGTGTGGAGAGGCGGGCGAAGTCCATCGCCTGTTTGCAGCTTCGCTCCTTCGTGCTGGCGAGCGACCTGCAAGACTGTTGGCAGACACCATACTCTTCTTCTGCTGCGGGACCCTGCCGCACAGGCTGTATTTAACGCTTTTTGCAATCTTGCGTGCATAGTTTTGAAAGGGCTTCACAGGTGGGCTGAAATGAGGTGGGGGCTTCCCAAAAAATGAAGGGTCTTGATACACGGGATCTTTAAACCCACGTACCTTCATCCAAAAGCCAAGGTTAGAACGTCTCTATGGATCCACATTTCTGCTGCAGTTGATTCTTGGGTCAACCGTTTTCAGCAACGCCGGCCGCTTAGACCTCGAATCAGCTTGCTGGGTGTGCGAACGAATCTGTCCACGGCTCGAGAAAGAAAAGGAATTTCAAGATGCGCTAAGCCTTAGCTGGTGTCAGACCTTGGTCTACAAAAGCATGGAGCCACGACAACAGATTTGTCACATAAGGTCGGCAGGGTTTCGAACTTCTCTTGTTCTCTCTCTTCCAAGGTCTCCGCCCTTTATCTACATCAACACTTCGTAGCTCCAAGCGGTGATCCTCCAGGACGCGGTCGGGCGAAAGAGACGCAGACAGATGTTGTCGATCGCTATCGGGGAAGGCACAACTAGATGAGGAGCCTGGCACATGTGCACCTTTCTTCCATGCAAAAAAACATAGCCGACAGGACAGCTCGTGAATGTTCTAAAGTCCGGAGAGCGCGGAAGGGATGTTACAACCTGCTGTCTTTCACCACATAAATTTATCAGCTGCAAGGATCCATCTCCTCGAGCTCTGCTGCAGTTGTGACACTCGGAACCTTTTGTGCCCTGCGACACGGCCGGTGGGCTGCGTGGCGAGGTGAGCGGTAAGCGCCAAGCTTGCCAGCTGGGAATCCTTGGGAAAAGATTGGGTCCTAAATGGCTTCAGGTGTTCCGGTCCCCATCTCTTGGCTGATGGCACCTGTTCTGGTGTGGTGCCGAATGGGAACACACACGGGGAGCGGGAACGCTTGTGGATGACCGCATGCTCGGCGGCCTACTGGAATTTCGGCTCAAGGCCTCTTCGAGCCTTGAGGAAAGAAACGAAGCTTATAGCGAACAAAAAGAGACACAGCAGATGCCTACCTATGCCTCGCCCTGGATTTCCAAAGATGTTGTGATTTCTCTCCTGGCAAATAGCTGCACCACAAAGAATAGAATCGTGCGGAAGTAGAACCTAGCAGCTTTCGTGGCTCGCGGGTGTGCACCTGACGGCCCGAAGCCCTGTACCCTAGACTTCCTAAACCCTAAATCCTAAACCCCCAAACTTCCTAAACCCTACAAACCCTACGGAATCCGAGCGATGGGAAGATGAGAAGCTCAAGGAGTCCATGTGGCCGAGCCCGAAGGCCCCAAGGCACCGGGCGTCGGAACCGTCTTTCTGTGAAATTCTGCGCAAGGGACAGCCGCGACCGCCACAGCCACAGAAGTCGGAGATCGCGGTCGCGTCCGAGGAAGGGCGTCGAATGCAACGTGAGTCTTTGCGTGGTACCGGACATAGCAACAAATGTCAAGCAGGCACAAGACCTACACCAAAGCCTTGATGGCCCTGCTGCGACCTGCTTTGCTTGGCTTCTTCCGGTGGCAGCGGTAGTTCTGCTTCTTTTTTGCTCTTCACCAATGCTGGCTGCTTAAGTGCATAAGTAATACTTTCTTAAATGAGGTTTTACTTTGTCTCCTGCCTCCTGCTTCTGTCATGCTTCTGCTGCATGACACTTCTTGCCGATTGGGTCTCTCCCGCATCCTTGGCTGAAGCGATATTGGTGTTAAAAGTTAGCCAGTGTATAGCAAACCTGGTTCCTGCAAGTTTACTGGCTCTCCAGCCCGGTGCTTTCTCGTTCGAGTATAGCTGGGGTCACAACTCATTCCCAGCCGGTGCTGACAATGCCGACGCAAGCAAGCTCTGAACACTTGGAGAGCCACCCAACACTGGCGAGGCATCCCCCATCCGCCACCAAGACTGCCCAAGCCGAATCCACTCGCTGAGGTTGCGCTAGCAAGCACAGGGGAGGGCTGCTAAAGCTTGACTGGATGTGGCACCAAGCCCTGGCTCCTTGTAACAACAACCTTTGAATACCAAACACGGTCAAGTTCCACGACCGACAGGTTCAAAGCCCCGAGAACATCAGTTTCGAGAATGCCAGTTCTTTGCCGGAGATCCCTCTCTGCCTATGATCTCCTTAAGTTTTGGGAAGCTGCTGCATGCCATTTTGAAACCATCGTTGCGAGGCGAGATCTCAAGTTTCCAGTTACACGACGTTAAGAATCTCAGAAGATGTTGCCCACAGACGAAAACCCGGAGCGCTAAATCCAAAACAGACCGCAAACTTGTTCATATGCGCAGCCCTGAGTTTGCAATTTGGCGAGGGTCCGAATGTTAAGTTGGCAGAGACAAAAAATCGCTGCAAAGTCAGCGATACCACACACAACTTGTGCTGAGCTCTTCCATCCACCAGACCTTGCCGCAACGAAAATGAAGACTTCACACTCGAAGCCCAATGCGCTGACATCGCTGTCTCCCAAATGCCATAGCAAAAGCCCCGAACCGAATCTGAAGTCAAGCTTGCGCGGCATATATTTTTTTCGATAATATAGAATGAGATACCACACCCAAGCAAGAAATTGTGCATGCATAAGGGACCATTTCGTTGCCAAGGCATATTTCACGTGATTTCTGCAGAAGTTCAGACCGTATCGGAAAGAGCATTCGTTTTGGAATATGCAGGAGGCCCGCAACAATTGACTAGTATGTTCGCGGATTGTTGCTGCATGCGGCATTTCGATGTCCTGCTAAACAAGGCATGACAGATTTTGGCCTCTTGCACTCCTCGCTGGGTTTGTGCGTTGCTTCAGTACCGCCAGTTCAGTGTCTGTCGCGAGACCCCCGGCGGATTGTGGCATCACATCCTTGGGCAAAATTAGTCCTGTCAGGCGCGCTGCCTCGAGCTCCCGAAGTCCACGCCGACGCACTGCAAGCAGGCGTTTATAATGTGGTGGTTTATGGGAGATGCCAGGCTTGAAAAAAAAGCTTTGGCTAGCCAGTGCAGTTCTCCAGGCAAGAGTCACCGCTTGTGCAACAAAGGGATGGCTTTCTGAAGATCACTACTTTGTAGTTTAGGATATCCACTAACGTTTCCTTCTTATGTCGTGAGCTTATTATCTACAACCGAAGAAAGACTCTCACAAACACCCTGATTCTTTCACTTACTTCTATCTGACATTACATTAGCTTTACTTGGTACCTGGTACCTTTAGAATATTGGACATCTATCGTGTGTTTTATCTCCTGTAAAGACCATCCCATTAATATTTTGGCCTAAATCTGACATGTTATAATCAACTAATATTTACCGGATTTAATATCGTGAGTCTTTCTAGTTCATTGACCGGTTGCATCTGATCTCATTTCATGTCAATCCGCTACGCCATCACTGTATGCCGATTCAACTAGTGTTTGTAGCACAGCCGAAGCACTTGTCCAAGTTGGCTTGCTACAGGAGCAAAGACAAGCGACGGGCGCAGGCCCAGGACAGGGTTTCTGCAGCCCAGAGGGCAGGTTGCTAAGTGTTTTGGCAAGGTCCCTGGTACCGCATCGAGCTTCTGTGCTTTCAGGAGTATCGCATCCCTCCACCGAAGACCCGCATGGATGCAGCGAATGCGCCACCTTCCATAACGGAGGCCCAAAAGGCCGGAAAGGGGTCTCCCAGGGCCACCGTGTAGTCAAGTCTCCTGGCTAAGCCCCAAGCTTTGGGTGAAATGCAAAGCTTTTTGCTATCCTTGCTTTTCAAGGGTTTGGTTCGGCCTGTGCGTGAAACTTGTCCCCCCATACCCCAGCTTTGCAGGCAGCCTCCATCGAACGCGGGGGCTACCTCTACGCTACAATCGATTTCACACCGGCAGTGCAGAACGCACCCTGGTCTACAGAGGCACCCGTGCAGTACGACTATCAGAGTCTTGGCGCGATCTGACGGCTCGGCCGAAAGTCGGAACATGTGGTCCATAGAAGCAGATACAGGCACGACGAGCAGCAGGCCATGTTAGCAAATTTGTACGTACCAAGTGCACGCTTTTTCCTGGAGCCCTAGGGCCGAGTTAGATCACTGGCTTTGGTTGATCATCGCTCCGACCTACAGCTGCTTTTGGGCCTGCTGGCTGAGCAGCCTGTGAAAGCCATAAGCGAGCTTGCAACAGCTGCTCAACTCATAGAATCTACTTGTGCCGAAGCTGGTGCACTTACAAAATGCAGCAAAGGATTCTCCCGATCGTCGTGTATGCTTGCCGGTCTTCCATAGGAACCATACACACATGCGTGTGCATAGGGATGTGTTATAAACACTTTCCGACTTCCACTGTGATGCAGTCGGCTGTTGAATCTTATGAAATTTATGTTCGATTCAATCCTCCGAGCTCGTTCGGTTGTACCAAGAAGTGATGTACAAAATGCCATGATGCTCATGTTTGGAAGCATGCGGAGTGAATCACTCAATCCAGCAGTTTCACATCTCGAAACGAAGATTTTGGGTTGACCAGACCGAGCATCGAACCTGTCCGACATGTCCGAGGAATTGTGTTTGAATTCCTCGACATGCGCAGCGAGCTGCTTTTTTCAGGAAGCAACTGGAGTCATTCGGAGGAAGTCACACAGTGACACATCAAACACCCGATGTACATAGCCTGCGCGGTGCAATCGCCGATGCCCCTGTCAGCTTCGATTTTCTGTCTGAGTGCTTCGAATTGTGCAAAACCGCTCAACTTCAATCTAAACTCTCTGCAGGCTGAACCCGGCTAACCCGAAGCCCGTCTGGAAGCAGCAGTGGAGTCATAGCTTCGTGCAAGGACAAAGTCCGACATCTCGGTGACTCGCTCCAAAACCTTGCCGCGAGGGTGGGAGCTGGTGAAAGGCACAGTCATGAACCAACAAAGAGGTGTAGGCATTAGGGCCTTTAGGGTTTAGGGTTTTGGGGTTGGGGTGTCTTAGGTTTCAAGCATTTATGCCTGCCGGAGTTCAGGCCCACCTCCGGATGACATCAAGGAGCTCATAAAGATCCATCCATGGGGCACTCACCTTTTGGTCACCGAGGGTGGAAATGCCTACTGGACCCACGCTGGCGACAATCCGGGCGCAATGGAAGCCATCTGGGATTACGACAAATACCCTGGCAGGTATCAGCTCAAGCCCAGGTCCTGCTTTGCCAAAAATGTCGTTGTCTCTAAAGAAAGCAGACCACGTTTTTTCAGTGTGCTGCAAGCTTGGATAGGTATGGCCGGGTCTCGTCCTGGCATGGAAACTTCTTCATCAGGACGATCGAGAAACAAGTTTAGTGAGCGAGGACTGTCGTGCTCCTCTTGCCAAAGACCTGCAGAATGGAGTGGAGAAAGAGATCCGTTGCTGGCTATTCCATGAGCCCATTCGGTAGAGTCACGACCTGGGCGCATGGCGCCCTGCCTTTGCCAAGGTTGCCGACCTCTCGCTTGCACGAGCTTACCTTCATGACCTTGCTATCTACAGGCAGCGTTTTCACCCAGGCCCCTTCTGTTTTGAGTCGAAGTGAATCGCCTATTTCAGGGCCGAAGCAAAAGAAGCCAAGGAAGCCCAGGCCCCAGACGGAAAGTGGCACATATATATATATATATATATATATATAATATATATATATATATGAATAACTGAGAAGTGGTTTCTGAGACCGAGGTTGCTCAAGGCTCAGGCTGGGACAGAACATGCAGCGAGGGAAACCCGAAACCCTAAACCCAAGAGCTTGCAAGAGGAATCCAGCAGTCCATTGCGCTGGCCGCGTGCCTCGCGGTGGAGGCGAGATCTGGAGAATGAACTGCGTGATCTCATAGATCTTGTAAGGCATTGCAGGGGTTTCATAAGTGAAACAGACGCAGTGATTCGACGAATCCTGCTGGTGCAATTCAGATTCTGTGCATGGGTCATTGCTTCTTGTTGTGTTTTGGAGGCAGCCGACCTGAGAATGTGCACGTAGGGGCGTCTTGAAGTCAACATGAGGTGGGCAAGCCTAAGCCCTCAAATGAGGCAGGTAGCTCCCTCTGTAATGCTTCTTGCTCGTTACTCTATATATCTCCCGTTTGGTTTCGGGGCTTCTGAACCATGTCGTAATTTTCTTTGTTCGGGTTTTGAGGCTTTTTCACCAGTTTTCGGGTCCGCCTGTCTGCATCACCCCTTGTAGCTTATGCAATGACGTCTTTTTCATCATGCACTGCTTTCCGAGATGTTTTCCCAGCATTTCTGCAACAAAGGTTCCGACCGAGGCCCAAGGAGCGCGAACACCCCGAAACGGAAGCCAGCTGCTCGAAACGCTCAAGGGCTCACCCGGAAGCAGATGCCAAAGCCTGAATACCTTGGAGGTCCGAAGACTTGAACTTGAAATCCGAGCGAGGGACCCTTTCAAAGGAAGAGGTGCAGAAGAGTTCTTCTCAGGATGCAGCTCGGAGTCATTTCCGGCCACCGGCCCAAGACATCGTGTCCTGGCGGATTGATCTCGAGATCACTGCCGAAGAGGAGCGGGATCTCTTCGAGTTGCAGTTCATCTCACAAGGATCTGAAGGTTTCAGATGTTAGCGGCGAATATAGTCCCCAGATTCCAGATCCTTAGTCCAAGGATCAAAAGGAATGCTCGATCTTACGAAACCCTGTCTCTGAGAGCAGGATCCCCCTGCACCTCCAGAGGCTGGGATGCCAATCTTTGCTGCCCCAACATGCCCCAACTCTTACAGATTCTGGAAGAGATTTAAGCAGCATCTTCTCGAGGCAACTGTCTTGGCAGACGCTGTCGGAGCGTTTCTGGGTGCTGGTCGCAGCCTTGGGTCAGCACAGGATGAACGAAGAAACAAGAGCAGACTGGAAGATTTGGCAATTCACGCATAATCATCCAAAATCCAAGGATTGGCAGCGATCTTTGCCAGAGCTTCGCGCGCATGAGGTTTTAAAAGCGCAATTCTGCCATGATTGATTCCAAACAAGATTTCTTGGTGACAACCCGTTCTTGCAGGTCGACTCTGTGTACAGGTTGTACAATGTATATTCTGTGTCAATTTTGCCGCACTGCGGTTATCTGAGTTCCTGGTTGTGTCGACCTTCCATCTTCTTTTGCATCTTGAACCATTGTTCCCACATGTTTTGATCTTTGATCCGCAAGTTCAGTTCCGTTGATACCCCCATGGCAAAGTTGCTTGTTGGGGTCAGTCTGTTGAGGAGAGTAGATTCATAGAAGCATGTTTTATTGCACCTGACTGGATCAGAACCTCGTACGTGCTACTTCCCGAGACAAAAGAATGTTTTTGACTCTTCCTCCACAATCGGTGCGAATGCGAAATGATGTCATTGTCAGAAGAATTTCTGATATTTCGACATTTTGAAATTTTGGTTTTATTAGAAAGATAATTCCCTTATTCGAAGGAAAATGATTCAATTTTACGAATAAATAAATAGAATTCAAAACCTAACCATGTTCTGAATTCCGAAAAATAAATTGGTAAAATTAGAGGATTAGCTTGAAAAATTCTACGAAATATGATATATTAATATAACAATTATTAGTATAATGAAGATTGATGATTATAGAATTATTCAAGAGTTTGTATCTTCTTTTCTTGAGAAATGTAATAATGGAATGAGATTTCTTCAAGAAATTCAATAATTTTATTTTGGGAGAGATATTCTGATAAAGGATGATTTATTTCATAATAAATGAGAAATTCGAATAGAATTTTTTCTTCATGGATTAAAAATATAAATATCTTCATATAAAAATATTTGATCTTAATTGATTGGAATTAAGAAATTGTATTAATAATAAATAATGATTTTCTTCCAAATAAATTAAATTAAATATTTAGATATATATTTTAATTAAAATATGATAAATATATTCTCTGATCTCGAATATTGTTATTCTATAATTTCTTAATTCATTTTTTTTATTCATTTTATTTTAAATT